CAATGAGGTAATGTGATATGTGTTAATGTAACTAAGACCAAGCTAAATTTAAAATTTTAAGTTCTGTTTGAACTGCTTTAACTATACTTTTTTTTTCCATTTTGGGGAGAAACCAAGTCTTTTGAAACTTTCTCCAGTACTTGGGAACATTTTTGATAAGCCAGTGATGTTGATTTCTTGTGTGTTCTATCTTGTTTTACGGAGATGTATGCTTGTCAAATGTGGTAGATTGCGCTTATCAATTAAGGTTGTAAAACCAGATCATCAATAGAATTACATCAATTCACTTTGGACTTTGTAAAGTTTTAAGGTTTCTTCCCCTAAAATTAATTGTTAACATCATTTGCCTCTTAAAAATCAAAATAACTTTGTGATTTCCTCCAACAATTTTCACCTTCGTTAGAATTGTTTTATTTTGATTAAAAATGTAATTAGACAACATTTAAAAGGTGTCTGCTTGGGCATATGAATAGGAAGGATTTAGAGGGATATGGATCAAATGCTGGCAGCTGGGTCTAGGTCATATTGGGTTGTCTGGTCAGCACGGATGAATAGGACGAAGGGTCTGTTTCTGTGCTCTATTAATCTATGACTGTATAGCTATCTTGTAAGAATTATATGGCCCATTGATGTCAGAGACCTGAACTAATATTTGTAGCTGCTAATAATGTATTTTAATTTGTTAATTATAATAAACAGCTGCTTAATAAATGCATGGTACCTAGTGGTTCCCTTTTGCCAGCTATGAACATCACAAGTCCCGGAAGGCAATTTCAACCAAACATAAATTTTTAGTTGGCTTGACAAGGTACTTTCCCATTTAATATGAATGCAGTAACAGTTAGCAACCAGAAAACATCGTATTGATTAGTCTGATTGCTGTCCTCCTGATCCTCCATTGAAGTGGTTTTGGATTAGAAAATATCTGAAGTCATTTTAATCATCTACTTGTACCACAGCTTCTACAAAAAGTGTTTAAGCTGGAAGAAAGAATAAAAAGCAGTTGTTAAGCATTAGACTCGTTAACATTTCTAGAAGACAACAACATATTCATTTGTAATTTATTGATAACTTGCAGACAATAAGACATTCACAATACTTTACTTCTGTCTGTAATGTAGATATTAATTAATTAGTAAACAGAAGAACTCTACTCGAGCATATTAAGCATTTATTCACTCGTATTAGCAACAGTAATTTTTGAACAATATCATCTGGATTTGTCAGTTCTAGATATCAGTCATTGTACAAGTGTCCTAAAAATAGTTGGTCTACATTGCTGTGTACCTGAATTACTAACCTTTTATGATTCATCTACCAGAATACCCACATTCTTCTGTCAATGGTCTGCAATCTCTCAGTTGATTTAAATAATATGCTACTTTCATTGGTTTGATTTTGATTATAACCCACACCACTCCCAGCATGCCCAGTGTGCCTTGTTATTGGTATTTGGCTTTGTTATCATTGCTTTTTCTATTCTTCCTGTCAAAATGAACAAGTTCACATTAATTATGTATTATCTGCCTTTTTTGGTGAGCAACTTGATCTGTCTATGTCCTTTTGGTGCATGTGTTCAAGCTTCTGTATCTTCTGCCTGATGGAAAAGGTTGTAGGAGAGTATTACCAGGGTGGGAGGGATCTTTGATGTTGCCAGCCTTTCCGCGGCAACAGGAAGCATAAATGGAGTCCATGGATGGAACATTGGCTCACGTGAGTCTCTGGGCTGTGCACACAACCTTCTGTAGTTTCTTACAGTCCTGGGCAGATCCAAAAACTATCTAATAGATTTTCACATCTGCAAAGCATGCAGCTTCAAAAGACATTGGACACACGTACAGGAAATCTGTTTCCAAAAGCCACAGCAGACTCTGGAACAAAACAGAGTTCACCAAAGATACAGTATAACACCATCACACTGGCAACAAGGAAATTCTTAAGGAGGTAGACAAATGCAAACACGTTCATCAAGTGCAAAGGCAAACATGCATAAGGCGAATTTTACAACCTGATCAAGCTTTCCATTACCCACCAACAATTGATTTTATTGTCACGTGTACGAAAATACAATGAAAAGCTTTGTTTACGAGCGATACAGGCAGATCACAGCAAGCAAAGGATGCACAGATCAAAAAGACTTGGAAGTATACAGGTTACATTGCAGGTTACATTATTTGAGGCTAGAGTCCATTTAACAGTCTGATAACAGCCAGAAAGAAGCTGTCCCTGAACCTGCTTGTGCGTGTGTTCAGGCTTCTGTATCTTCTGCCTGAAGGAGGAGGTTGTAGGAGCTCATTACCAGGATGTGATGGGTCTTTGATGATGTTGGCCGCCTTTCTGTGGTAGCGAGCCCTGTAAATAGCAACTATGGATGGAAAGTTGGCTTCTGTGATGGTCTGGGCTGTAATTATTGTAATTCTTCGTTGTTTTTGTTTATGTTATATCCAGTCATATTTACAACTATCTTCATTTTATTTTTTAATTTGATAATACATTTAACTTGCTTAGTTAGACATGGATAGTGTGTCCTTCCCTTAGAGTCTTCCTTTCTCACTGGAATCTGTCTTTGCAGAGTGTTATGAAATATCTCCTTTAACTAAGTGTAAAACATGCGTCTGAGACCCACTGTTAAAATTGAATGTGAAATTCAATCACATCATTATCAGTGCTACAGAGGGCTGACTTTATTATTTAGTCCTATTTAATTGCACAGTCAGATCTGGAATAACCTGTTCTCTGGTTGGCTCCAGAATGCGCTGTTGTAAGAAAACACTCTATGTACTCATCTTCTGGGCTATTTTACTCCATCTGATTCATTTGATCAATATGTAGATTAAAATTACCCATGATTTTACAAGCTCCCACTATTTCTTCCTGTATTCCCTATCCTATAGTGTAGTAAAAACTGAAAGTGTAGTTACTGTTCAGAGGTCTACAATGCATTCCCATAGATGATTTCTTGCCTTTGCTGTTTTTTATCCACAACCAAACTGATTCCACATCAATCTTTAGAACTAAAGTCGTCTCTCTGTATTGTACTAATGTCATCCTTAACTAACAGAACTCTCCCCCTTTCCTTAGCTTTCAGGAATGTTGTAGCTCTTGATATTCAGATCTTGCAGTCATATCTCTGTAATTGCTTTAGATCTAACATATTTATTTCTATTTGAACTGACAATTCACTGATTTTCCTTTGAAGGTGATATGCATTTGGATGCTTTTAGTTCTATCATTTATTCGTGTTCAATTTACAGCCTTATCTGCAGGCACAGTCTTAAGTTTACATGCTGTCACTTCCTGTCACATTCTGATTATCACTAAGCAAAATACCAAAGAACTGTAGATGCTGGAAATTGAAAACAAAATCAGAAATAACTGGAAAAGCTCAGCAGGTCTAGCAGCATCTGTGAAGAGAAAGCAGAGTTAATGTTTCAGGACCAGTGACTCGTCTTCAGAACTGATTGTAGCTTGGAAAAAATTGGTATATATGCTAAAGATGGGGTGGGGAGAGGAGTAAATGATAAGTGGAGATGGAGCCCAGAGAGAAACAGTTGGGCAGACAAAGGAATGGGTAACGGTCAATCTGGGAGAGTGAATAGCTGCTAATGGGAACTGTTAGTGGCTGATAGTGGGTTGTTTGTGGTTGCACCAGTCCAGATCTAAAGAAGAGTAATACCCGAAACGTTGACTGCTGTTTCCTCCAGATGCGGCCTGGCCTGCTGTGTTCTTCCAGGCTCCTGTTTGTCTACCTGTAGAAGGTTCACTGGATTCGAAACATTAACTCTATCAACAGATGCTGCCAAATCTGATTTTATTTCAGATTATTATTACTGCTATTGTTACTTTGCTGTCTTGCCCATGCTCTCTTTAATTTAATTCATCTAATTCAATCCATTACCATACTTATATAACTAGCAATATGGGTCAGTTGAAGACCATCCCAATGCTACAGCTCCCACTTTCTCCAGTACGGTTCAAGTGCTCCATAAATTGAAACCCATTTCTGCCACCACAATCTTTCACTCGTGCATTTACTCTCTAGTTTCTTTTACCCTACTCCAGTTCACTCAGGGCTCAGTATTCAGAGGTACTTTTGAGGTTTGGCTTTTTAGTTTAGCCCCAGGCTACTCATAAAACCTGAGCAGAACATCTTTTCTAGTCCTCCCTGTGATATTGACAACTGGGTGCCCATGATAACTGGATCGCCCTCCTCCCACTGGGTGTTCTTCTTCAGCTCAGAGCAGATATAAAATATTACAATTTCAAATACATCACTTGAATTTTGAAAAACAAACAGAATGAAAACCTTACTAACCAACCAACCACCTGTTTTACTGGTGTCACACTTGGATTTTTCTCTCAACTTGGCTAGCCCACAGAATGAATCTTCTCCCCACCACCACCAAAACCCCCACCCATCTCCCCCAAACCCCACTCTCATATTCTAACGCCTTGAACTGTTCCCATTCACCCCAGCTCCCACCCTACCCTCATTCACCACACCCAGCATCCCCTTGTGCTTCACACCTGCTGGCCCCTCAGCTCTCACACAGTTCTGTTGTCTTTCTTTTGATGAAACCACACCATATGCTAGCATGGTAAAGATTCCTATTATATGTTAAATTTTAGTTCTGCCATAAGAGTATATGTAGCTCTGTAATTTCTACTGGTTGTGCCTGTATTTTGAGAAAACTTGGACTCCTATTCGTTTCGTGTCTGGGCATCTCTTCATAAAGTCAACTTATTTTGAGTCACCAGAAAGTTTTTGGACTTGCTGTTACATCAATAGTTTGGAAGTTAGTTATAAACTGGAAGTGCATACAGCAGACTAGTTTGTATAAAACATGATTCTTCATAAGAGATAGTAAGAACTTATGATTCTTCGTAAGATTGTTAATATTTATAAAATATGAATCAAAATGTGTGAGCCACTTAAGATTGCCTCTATTAAATTAATAAAACTGCAGAACACAAAATCATTATATTTCTTGTTGCCACAGAAATTCTCCAGCGTTCAAATCCTTTGAAGAACAGGTGGAAACTACAGTTAGCAGTTTGAAGGTAAAGATTTGGCTGCCATGATATGGTAGTGGAATTTGCCAGCATTGCTATACCTCTTAAACCAACCCAATTAGCTTGGTTTGATCTAATTTTGTTGCATTTAGAGTTTGACCTTTCCTTTAGGCATTTGAATTTCGTAGATTTTTTTGTCAAAATTTCATCTGATTAAAGTACTGAAGCTTCACATTTACAGGATGCTGTTTGTTATATCATATAGGATATATGGCACAACAACCAGTCCATGCTAGTGATTAAGCTCTATTTGTGTTTCCTCCCATCATTTCTCAAAAAAGTCTAGCATTGTAACATGTTTTCCTATCTCCATCATATGTTTATATAGCTTCCCCTAAATGTATTATACTATTTGTTTCAACCGCTCCCTAAGGTGGTGGGTTTTACTTTATTATCATTCTTTGGATGAGCTCCCTTATAGGTTTTCTTGGTAACTATCTTATATCAGTGGTTTTGAATTATGCTCTTTCTGCCAAGGTGTAACATTCTATTTGTTTCCACTCTGTCAAACTGCTCATAATTTTAAAAAACTTCTATTGGGTCAACCCCTCGGTCCTATTTAAAAATAGAATCCTTTACTGGTATTTATAGCTATGCATTTCTGGTAGCATCCTTGTAATTCTTCAATGTATTGTCCCCAATACGCCTCTGTCATTTATATGAAATGACAACTAGAATTGAACATGGTTCTCAGGATGTGGTGCAGGCAAAAGTTCAATTCAAGTTTAATGTAAATATACCTAACTCTCTGAACTTACTTAAATTTGAACTTAGTCATTTGGTTCTGTGGAAATGCAAATTAGGGAAGGTGATTTTACACCATCATCCTAAGTCAAAATTACCCTGTGGAGAGGGAAAGGCACTAATATGACCCAGTCACTGAAAGGAGGGAGATAGCAAATAGGGGTCATATCACATTTCAGGATTTCAGATTTTGCTGCTGTGAAGAAAATTTGATTCCTTAATGTTGAATATGGTATAACGCAATGACCAGCATTTGTTAGTCCCTTTCTTGAATTTCTATAGTCCGTATAACGTACATAAATCCATGATGCTGTGAGGTAGAAAGCTGTCGGAATTTGACCCAACAACAGTGAACAAGTCAGGATAGGCCAGGGATACTCTCCTGGATTAGTCTGGTTGCAAAGTGGGTGCAGGACCCAACCATTGGCAAGGTGCTCAGAGAAATGCCTGGTGATCTCGATGGTGCTCCAGTCAATGGTAGCTTTGAATCATCTGTGTCATCAGTGAGACAGTCAAGCTGCACAGCATCAAGTAGAGAGTGCTGCAGTGCCTGCCACAGCCAGAACACCAACCTACCCATTCTCCCATACAGCAAGCTCGAATTCAAAGAAACACAAGTCCTCAACTCCTTTCACAATACAGGTTAGTGTAAAAAGTGATTTACTTTGGAGGGGGTGGGGAAGGGGAATGAATGGCCATATTCCCCATTTGTTATTGGCCCCTTTCAGTGAAAGTCTATCAGAGCGCTTCAAATAAAATGTTATTTTGAAAATGTGCTTGTTCTTAGCATTTCCTCTGAGAAAGCCCACCACAGGGTTTGCACTTGAGTCAGAAGGTTAGTTCCATCCCAATCTGGAGACTTGAACCAGAAATGTAATCTGACACTTTAGTGGAGTACTGAGGTCATACTGAACATGGAGCAAAGAGGTGGGATGGGCCTGGAAAGAGGGAGATTAGTGTGGGCTGGTGTTGGAGCTTCCCACTGAAGGGGGACTTCTGATCAGGTCAGTGAGGAAACCAAGATCTAAATTCTTCTCTGTTGTTATGGAAATTATATGCTTTTACTGCAAATGTTTCTGTCACAGGAATAGACTACGGTGCTCTTCTGAGGGTTGGTGCAGACTTGATGGGCTGAATGGCCTCTTTCCACACTGTGGGGGATTCTGTGTTTATTCATGTTAATCTCTCTGACGAAAGCTAAAGAACAGAGCTTAACCTAGTTGCTAAGATATGTTCACAGCAGGCTCTGGAGAGTGTTTGAGTTCCTGAGGTGGAGGCAAGTGAATCCTTGTCCCCTTTAGAACTGGCTCTTGTCACCAGCTTTCTATGATGTTACTTCTGCCAACATTCCCCCGAATGTGGCCAGCTGGAGTTGGCAACCCTATGTTAGAAATACCTAGAGGGTCTGGCAGCATCTTGGAGAAACAATATTCATGCTTCAGGTATATAATCTTCCATCAGAACTGGAATTTGTTAGAATTATAATAGGCTGTAACCAAGTGAGAGGAGACTGGGTGGAAAAAGAGCATACTTCAGAGTTAAAGATGAGAGCAATTAAATAACAGAAGTTTTGATGGCACAAGGACAAAGGGAGTGGTAATGGATTAAGGAAATATACAAAGGATGTATCTAGAAATGGTGTGATTGGCTGAGGGATGAATGGCTGCACCCAAAAGCAAAGGAGAAAACAGAGCTATTTTGTCTCATGTTTTTCACCTGTTATCAGATGCAACTATTCTGTTCAATTGTGTTTGCCTACATCCAGAAGCATAACAGCAAAATATTTGAAATAAAGAATGATTACAAACCTAACAAACCCTTAAAAAATGAAAAAAATTATATTATTAAATATGAAGGTGCAGAGAAAAAGGGTTTTTTTTAAACTTTTCAAGTTGGGTTTATATTGCTCATGCAGTTGGAATTCATCATCAGATGGTTGGTGTCAGAAGACAGCCTCTTTGACCTTTTTCCAATCCTTCCCTTTCCTTGCCTAAAACAAATCACAATTCTCAACCTTTCCCAATTCTGATAAAAGGTCACAGACATGAAATGTCTCCACAGATGCTCCCTAACCCAGCTGAATGCTGAGTATTTTAGTAACTGCTGTTACTTTGTTAAATTGTCTGTATCTCAAATTTGTCCAACAGAGATACAAACAATGAAGCTAGGGGAACCTAATACTCAAAAGTAATCAACAGATTAAATAATAGATTGCTGTTTCAGAATTCTAAAGGCTGTTGAGTTCCTGGTCTTCACCCCCATCTAAGGTTACATTAAGGTCATGTGAGAGTTTCTGTGCTAATATTACCTGTTGTGTGCTGCTTTTCCTGGCAGTGATTATTATTCTTGACCACTTCATATTGGTAATCATCTTTTCGTTGGCCTATTGCATTTCATTTCTCAATGTAGTCATCACCCCGGAGTGATTTAGCTACATACCTTTGGGTGATATGATTATACATTCTTGGATGTGTAGTTTTTCTAGAATTGTTTATTTTTAAAGGTCCTGATCTCCAAGTTAACTAATGAAAGGCAACTATAATATTCAGTCTGATTAAAAATATGTTGCTGTTTGGAGATTTTGAGATGCTATCATGTGTCTAGTAGTAGTTTTTTTTAAAAAAAGCCACTTTCAATAATCTTGTGTCTGTTTAGTGTAAAGTTGGTGTACCTGCCCACAGCAGTGGAAGTTTTGAAGATGTGCTGAATTCTACTGCCAATGCCAGTGTTCAGGAATCAATTTCAGGAAATCGTTCAACTAAAGATATCGAATTTTTTTAAATCTTTTCTATAATACTGTAGGATTTAAAATGCATAAATCTTGGTGTTATTAGATTTTATTTAAAATTCAGTATATCTATGTCTCCTGTTTATATTGGGGAAAACAGCCTGGAATTATTTAAAACAAAATAGTGGGAAGAAACTTTCTACATTATATCAATAGAAAATTGTTTCACATACTTTTATTCTTGGACTGTCTTTCTAATTTATGAAGTGCTTATTCTAAGCTCCATTTGTACTTGTATTGCAATGCAGTAAGTTCACAAGTTTTGTCAAACCACTCCTGTTAAAAGGAATGTTAATTGAACCAAAATGTATTGTACTTCTGAAGTCTTACAGAAAAAAAATAAATTATTTCTTGAGAACGGTCCATTTGTAATTCCTTGCTGTTCACTAAGTGAAATGATTTGAAAATATATATTTGGAAGTAGAATTAACTATTTACAATATTTGTTATAGATATTACCAATCTGTTCTGTTAAAATAACTTGAAGCACTTTAAAGATATAATATTCAGAATGTACAGTATTTCTAAGGTAGTCTTGGCTTTACCTCTTAATAATGTTAAAGTTTTATAGAGTCATACAGCATGAAAACACTCTTCAGTTCAATCTGTCCAAACTAAACTAGTCCCACTTGTCTGCGCTTGGTCTGTATCCCTCCAAATGTCTTTTAAACTTTGTAACTGTGCTTGCATCCACCATCTTCTCTGGCAGCTCATTCCACAAACTAACCACTCTGTGTAAAAACATTGGCCCTTATGTCCTTTTTAAATATTTCTCCTCTCACCTTAAAAAGATGCACTCTAGTTTTGAACTCCCCCACCCAGGGAAAATACCCTTTATGGATTGTATTTTATGGGAACACAATGGACATTAATTTGTGCAAATGTACAAAATAATTGTTCAGCACTTGTTGGTCCAGTATCTTGGAGACTTAGTGAAATTGAACAGAAAGGAAGAAGTCAAGACATAATTGATTATCCATCTGGTATTGATTTAGGCATTCTAAAGATGCTATGAATTGGGAAATATTCTTTTCATTTCTTCAGTTTTTTAGTGCATATGAAAATGGCATGTTCTGAAATTTCTTATTTACTGTCACTACAGTATTCCAAAGTACATTGACATTAAAGTGGGTTCCTTTCCCTACTGTATGAGTACATGTAGAAAATTTTAATTTATGCATGTATAAAAAAATGGCTAACCAATAGGTAATAATGTTAGTAGTGTTACAGGGAAGAAATGAAAATGTTAAACCTTTCATTGCCTCAGCTGTTGGAACCAAACTTGCTTCTGAATCACAGGGTTCTGGGTTCAAGTCTGACACTTCAATGCAGTACTGAAGGTGCATTTCATTATCAGAGGTGTTGTCTTTCATATAAAATGCTTACTGAAGGTTTTATCTTCTGCTTGGGTGGATGTAAAAGATCCCATGGCACTATTTTGAAGAGTAGGGAAGATGTCTCCACTGTCTGGGCAACTATTTATTCCTTAGTCACTGTCTCTCAAAAGAAAATTGTCTGATCATTATCACGCTGATGTTGTGAAAGTTTGTTGAGCACATATTATTGTTTCCTCTAGTGATTACAATTCAAGTGAATAGTACTTCATTGATGGTAACACGTGGATATGAAAAGTGCTCAAAAATACAACTGTTTTCTTTTTTATGGAAGGAGCAAATTAACTTAATCCTTTCAGTACTGTGTGACAGTTAGCCTTTTCTGTACTTTTAGGAGTGGAAGATGACTGTTCGATCCTATTTCATCTCACAACCTGTATAAGAAAACTGAGATACTTTTTCCCCTATTTATTTGCCTTCATGGAAGTTGCTGCCAGGTTAATTTTCTATGGGCACCAGTTCCTCATCCAAATGGCCCTGATATACATGCAAGCATTACTTAACTGTTTAGTTGCACTCCAGAACAATGGTCATAGTTCCTTTCCAAGGTATTGGGGCTGAAAGTTCTCTCAAGATTGTTCCACTAATTACTCAGGCCCTGACTAACACTTACTTGTAGTTCTTAATTTCAGTAATCAGGTATAAACTGAGACTGTTTCAAGTTTATGTTTAATAACCACTGTAGAGTCACTAAAAACAAAAAGAGGCTGAAATCCACTTGGCTTTATTGAAGCAGATTTATAATGCCATCTGAGGTCATTTAACTTTGACTTTATGGCTACATCACAGGAAATTTTTGTTGTTACGTCAGCAGAGTTCCTTAAAGAAATTGGTATTCCTCATTCTCAAGCAGCATTTCGTCTTGCAGAATGACTGGAGAAGTGAGAGGTGATTTTGTATGGTGGAGAATGGAAATGTGGGTGGGCTGTTACCACTGACTGATCAATCCCCAACCTGCAAGATACAAAACTACCTTTCTCTGCTGTTCCAGTCATTTGTCCAGATGACAGGCAAGGTATGTTGCACTAAAAGTTCCCAGTTCTTTTAAAAAAATCCCTAAAAGGTAGTACGTATTTTACATGGTGCAACTGTAGTATTTTTATCACCATGTAGACCTTCAAACAACGAGCCCTCCAAGTTTTTGCAGCTCTGTAAGGATTCAAAACAGAGCTCACTTTTAAATAGTTGCACATTTGATAGCATTTTCTGAAAACAAAAATGCTGGAAATCACAGCGGGTCAGGCAGCAACCATGGACAGACAGCAAGCTAACGTTGAGTCTAGATGACTCTTCTTCAGACTCATCTAATGAAGAGTTATCTAGACTCAGTTCCATTGCTCTCTCCATGGATGCTGTGATTTTGTGATTTCCAGCATTTGTTTTGTCTTTGGTACTGAGTCCAGGATCTGCAGTAATTTGCTCCTAATGACATTTTTGGTGGTTTTCCTAGGACCACTTTAATTAAAACATCTTCTCTGCTGAGCTATTGCAGAAATTTTAAAATGGTAACTTCCCCGTGAAAAGTGAGGAAACGGTGGCTGCCACTTCAGCAGGTGTTGTCTTTAACAGATTTATTCATGGGCACGAGATACTTTCTAATCAACCAAAACAAGCCCAGTGATGTGCTCACTGTTAGATCCTTTTTTTTCCAATTTTCAAGTTCAAATGAGTGGCCACTGCTCCAAACATGAATTTTTTTTCTGCAGTAAATAAACCAGCCTGACTGGGTGGGTCTCTTTTGTCATGGATTTTTAGCACAGTTTGCTCATGGAGCCAAATTAAAAATTTGAACACACTGCTCCCATCAATAACTTTACACCCATTTCATCCAAATATTTAAAAATGCCTTGATGAGAATAAACAAATTGAAGGTTAACTTAGTTAGAAAAACAATTGAAATTTTAAATATTCACTCCTGTCTAAGGAAATACATGCACTGACTTCCAGCATATGGAGAACGTATCAAACGCTAAATATTTGGTTTTGCTCAGTCATGTATTTGCTGGTTCAAAATAAATAGATGCAATCATAGGAAAAAAACATTTTTTCCTATAATCCACAATGCTGTCCTAGAGTTTTGTGCTCTGAGGCAATATGCGTGGCCCATTCTCCCGAGAATACTGTGTATCTGAAGTGCTGTCCTTTGTTCGCCTGGAATTTCTTTCTGCATTTAATGTTGCTACCAGTTGAAGAATTTCAGGGTGATGAAATTTTTCTGTAAGATAAAAGTTTATATAAATGCAAGACAAAAAACTTCATATAAATTATTTGCTTTTGTATATAATAGACTTTGGTGCAATAATTACACAAGAGTAGAATAACGGAATTCTCCTCCTCTGTGCGGACTAATATTGTGAAATTCAGACTCTAGCCTCCATGTACAGAATGCCTTCAGTGTTGAAGCAGGCCATTTGGCCCTTCGAGTCCACACTGACCCTCCAAAGAGCATCCAACCCTGCCACCCCATCTCTGTAACCATGCCTTTCTCCATGGCTAACCCACCTAGCCTGTGCATCCCTGGACTATGGGCAATTTAACATGGGCAATCCATTTAACCTGCACATCTTTGGACTGTGGGAGGAAACTGAAGCATCCAGAGGAAATCCATGCAGACATGTGCAGAATGTGCAAACTTCACAGAAACAGTTGTCCAAGGCTGGGAAAAAAGCCAGGTCCCTGGTGCCGTGGGTAGCAGTGCGAACCACTGAGCTACCATGGCCTTCCAAGCAAAGAATGGGAATTGCAGGAGGCCATTTAGCTCCAGCTCATTAAATGAGCATCATTACCTACTGACAATCGCCTGCTTTATCCCCCCAGTCTCTTGCACATTTTGTTTATCCAATGTTGTCTTGAATGCGTCAGATTAAATCTTTCGGTTGAATTTTGAAGAACAATGTACTAACATTGGCTACAAGTCCCAGGTATACTATTTGAAATACATTAGAATAGCTTGAAGATGGAGTTGCCTCAGGTGTGTACAACCATCTCTTAACCATTCAATGACAGGACAGACTGTAGGAATATGCTTCACACTGCAGGAATATGCTTCACACTGCCTCAGAGCTGTGAAGTACTCACATGCCTGTGCCTGGAATTCACTGAATAGGATGCCCATTTCTATGCTGTGACCAAATAAATGGCATAAAGAAAATACCATGCACTCATATTACATAAAAAATTATTAGGAGCAGCATCATGAACTAGGGTATAAGCAATCACTTATGCCATTACTTAATACAGGTCAAAAACAACATTAACCTTTTGTCGAATCATAAAAGTCCTGCAATTGACCAGGTCTTTGTTCCAGCTCTTCATATTCAAAAGCTTGCATAATCATTTCAAACTGATCCAGTTCTTTCACATACTTGGCTTCAACACTGGACTGGTTCTCATATTCCTGTAGAAAGGTGCATTCTGTTAGGAATATTTGCCATTACGTGTACATGCTAAATATAACTGCATAGCAAAGGTAAAAGAAAGTGGATTAGATTTAGCACAAGGTATCACAAGCGTTAACAGTCCTTTCATTTCAAACATGAGAACTGAATTTGGAGTACAACTTCTGTACGAGTCTATAATTCATTACAAGCACTAACTGCTGTTCATTCAATTCTCTAAAACTGTTGCTAAATTTTTCACCTAAACTTTATTTTCCATACCGAGTCTTGATTCAAAAGCCCCATTCCAGAGATTTCAGTATAATGTAGGCCGGTGCTTCAGCATAGAACTAAGTGAAGTGCATCCTGTCAGATATGCTGTCTTTTGGATGTGACATTAAACCGAAATCCTGTCCCCGCCAACGCAAATGGGATGCAAAGTATTTCAGTTGCATTTGAGTTTTTCCAAATTTTACTCTGCAAGTTACAGTTAGATTTGGTCATTTATCTCAGTACAATTTTAGACCTTGCCATGCACATTGCTGTGGTGTCCTACATTAGAGCAGGATCTGCACCGTAAAAGCTACTGTCCCCTGCCGGTCATTTCTCCAATCACAACCTCGCTGTCGCAGCCTCCAGAATATTTGGTCCTTTCAGGATAAACCTTTGCTATCCATGACTGCATCAGTAAAAACTATTAATAGCTTGCTATCAGCAGCAGACTGTGTTATGGATGGAGAGTACTTCTCCCTCAGACTTCTTCATCTGGCTGTGCATTCAATTGACCGTCCCACCGAAGTTATTGTGGCAATAACTACCAAAATTCGCTTACCCCTTACTCCTCTTTTTCTCATCCCTTAAAGGGACCCCACTTCTCTTGAAAATACTTGTCATTTACACTCCTCCCAAGCCCTTTGCTGCTGTTTACTGACAAGGGAGAACATGTTGAATGGTAGGACTCTCGGAATTACAGACGAGCAGAGGGACCTTGGTGTGTGTGCCCATAGATCCTTGAAGGCAGCAGAACAGGTGGTTAAGGCATAGGGGGTACTTGCCTTTAACACTCAAGGCACTGCAAACAAAAGCAAGGAGGTTATAATGGAGTTAAGCCACAGTTGGAGTACTGTATGCAGTTCTGGTCACCACACTACAGGATTGTACTTGGAGGGTACAGGGGAGATTCACTAGGACGCTGGCTGGATGGGAGCAATTCAGCTATAAAGAGAAACTAGATAGGCTGGGGTTGTCTTACTTAGAGGGGAGAAAGCTAAGGAGGGACCTGACTGAGATATGCAACATTATGAGGGGCATAAACAAAGGTAGATAGGGAGATTCTTTTCGCTCAACAGAGAAGTCAATAAACAATTTTAAGGTAAGGAACATGCAAAGCCAATTGCTGAAAAATGGGCTTAAAGTAGATGGATTGCTTAATGACCAGAGTGGACACAATAGGCCAAAGGACCTCTTTCCATGCTGTAAAAAACAGACTAAGACATCTGCTCTCTTATGAGATCGGCTCATTAGCACAGCTGATCAAGATCTTGTGTACTCTTAGATAACCTTCTTCACTGTCCACTACACTACCAATTTTCCACAGACTTACTCATCATGCTTCCTTTATTCTCATCTAAATCATTTATATAGATGATGGACACTGCTGGTCACAGGCCTCCCGGCCAAAAACAACCCTCCACCACCGCCCTCTATCTCCTATTGTCAAGCCAAATTTGTAGGCAATTGTCAAGCCAAATTTGTAGGCAATTGGCAAGCTCTCCCTAGATCCCATGTGATCTAACCTTACTAACCAGAGTACCATGCAGAATCCTGTTGAAGGCCTTACTAAAGTCCATGTAGACAATGTCTACCGCTCTGCCCTCATTAATCCTTTTGGTTACGTCCTCAAAAAACAATCAAGTTTGTGAGACACGATTTCCCACACATGAAGCCATGCTGACTATCCCTAATCAGTCCCTGCCTTACCAAATGCAGTCTGTCTCTCAGAATCCCCTTCAACAACTTACCCACCACCGATGTCAGACTCCTCGGTCTATAGTTCTCGGGCTTCTCCTTTCAGCCTTTCTTAAATGAAGGCACAACATTAACCACCCTCCAGTCCGTCAGCATCTCACCCATGGCTGTAGATGATATAAATATTTCTACTAGAGCCTCGGCAATTTCTTCCAGGTTCCCATTACGTCCTGTGATACACTTGATCAGGTTCAAGAGATTTAGCCACCTTTCTGTTTTTTAAGACCTCCAGCACCTCCTCTTCTGTAATGTGGACTGTTTTCAAGACATCAATATTTATTTGCTCAAGTCCCCTAGTTTCCACGTCTTTCTCCACAGTAAATACTGACACAAAATATTCATTTAGTGGCTTACCCATCTCCTTAGTTGCACAAGTAGACGTCCTCGTTGATCTTTAAAGGGGCCCTATTCTCTCCCTAGTTACCCTATTGCTTTTCCCGTACTTGTAGAATTTCTTTGGATTCTCCTTAGCCTAATCAGTCAAAGCTCTCTCCTTTAGCTATCCCTTTTTTGCCCTCTGATTTCTTTCTTAAGTATGCCTCTACCTTTCAACAACCTCCCACCCCAATTTTATAAAGGGAAGTCTTGCTCAACCAGTTCTCTACATCTATGTCACATTTCTGATGTCCTTTCTATCCTATGATCTTCAAGCACTATTTAAGCCTATCAGCAGTATGCTCAGGTTGCCTGTAATTTCCTTCAGAATCAAAACAGTAGAATACAAATCAGGGCACACTCTGGATTACAGGATTTGAATATTTACTTAATTCGTCTAATAAAGAAATTTAGTAAGGACTGGTGCAATATTTAGTTTAAAAAAAAGTCTATTGAGAAAACCTGTGACCAAAGGAGGCCATTTAGTTTGTTTTATACTTATAAAAATGGTTCAATTCACAACTCACCTCCCAAAGCCCCAGGACCTCTTTACCAACTTCATCACTTAATAGTCCAGTTAAATGTTTCATAGCTTCCTGCAGGATAGGATAGCATTTTTGATTCAAAGTCCATTTGTCAAAATAAAAAGAACCTACATTTATACATAATGTTTTTCAAGACACAACTTTATCACCTGAAGAGTTTGTGGGCTTTTGGTCTCTTTCACTCATCAATATTTGAACTTTTTTTTTGTCCTTCTTACATATCTTCATCTCCTTATTGATGTTAACATAATGCCATCGAAGAATCTTCTCTAAGGAGTTTTAACATCAGTCAACTTGGTGATAAATTTGTTTCTTTGCTCTCTCCCTTTACTAAAATGCCTCTTTGGCGGCACATGAATGGAGTCTGGTTTAACAAAAGTAAAATTCTACAGATACTGAATTCTGAAATAAAATAGATAATAGTGGAAATACTCAGCATGTCAGCAGCATGTGTAGAGAGAGAAACAATAGACATTCATCATAACTGAGAAAAATGAGCTCTGTAATAACTTTTGTGCAAGTGGAAGAGGGGAGGGCAGAGAGAAAATCAAAAGTGAAGGCATGTAATAGGGTGAAGGGCAGAACAGATTAAATTGAAAAATGGTCCTACTACAAAAGCCAATAGTGTGGTAAAGAGACAAGTAAAGAAATGACAGATATGTCTAGATGTAAATGGCAGAATAGCAGCTGTGTGAATGCAAAGTAAAGGAATTAAGAAAGAAGAGTAGAAAATGAACTAACAAAAATACTTTTAATACAATATGGGAACCAAGGTTATGATCCAAAATTATGAAGTCAAAAGTTGAGTCCTGAGCTTCTTTTGAACACTAGCATGTCAGAGTGGGAGCAAGGTGGACAATTAAAGTGACAGGCAACAGAAAGTTCAGGTCATGTATGGGGACTGAACAGAGATGTTCAGCAAGGCAATCACAACATCTTCATTTGGTATTCCCCATGTGAGCACTGAATATAGTATACTAAATCCAAATAAATGCAAGTAACTTACTGTCTCACTTGGAATGAGTATTGAGGGGTTTGGATGTTGAGAAGACAGAAGTTAGAGGGATTGGTTTTACATCTCCTACAGTTGCATGGAAAGGTGCTAGAGGAAAACGTGGAAAGTAAAAGTACCAACAGACAACTTGGTAACAAAATAATAGAAGCTGAAGAAATTGGAAAAGAGAGTTAATTCTTCTCACTTACCAGAAGTGACGTGTTAGTGCCAGCTCAAAGCAGGGAAGCTTCCATCATTTACTGAAAGCAAAATACTACGGACGTTAGAAATCTGAAGCAAACATAGAATGCTGGAAAAATCTCAGCAGATCTGACAGATCTTTCTCTGAGGAGAAAGAAACAGAGTTAACACCATTCAATTCTAAAGAAGAGTCATACTGGACTCGAAACATTAACTGTTTCTTTCTCCCCAGATGCTGCCAGATCTGAGTTTCTCCAACATTCTTTGTGTTTGCCTCCGTCATTTTCAGTTGTACATGGGTCCGAAAGGTCTGAAATGGTTGAAACTGAGTTGTGCTGTAAACACAGGCCACAACGATAATGTTATATGGACTTGTAGGAAAACAGCTTTGGACCTTGAAGGAGTGAGACCTAATGAAGTCTCTTTAACAACATCCATCATATGTAAACATACAAGATAGGAATGGGAGTGAGCCAGTTGGGCCCGTGAGCCTACTGTACCTTTCAAAAAAAAATACAAGATCATAGTTGGTCTGATTGTCACCTCAACTTCACATTCCGAGTAACCTCCAACAACCATTCACTCTTGATAAACAAAAATCTATCTACTTCTGTCTTTAAAATATTCAAAGATTCTGCTACCACTGCTTTTTGATGAAGTAAGTTCCAAGAACCCACCATCCTCAGAGAAAAAAAAAATCATTTATTTTGGTTTAAATGGGTCACCCCTTATTTTTAAACAGAGACCTATTGTTCTATATTCTCCCACAAGCAGAAAAGTCCTTTCCACATTCATCCTGTCAAGACCTTACAGGATTTTGTATGGTTCAGGATCTTATATCTTCATATCAATATAAGTTGTTCAAGTCATACAACCTGTATAAGTTGTTAACGTGAAATAAAGCACATCCTGTCAGCAACAAGATACTCTTCTAGTAGATCATGAAGTGGTTTTCCTCTATCTCACGAGATTGAGCAGGCCCTGCAGATTCCTACACTGCAAATGGATGGTGGCAGCCGTCTTCAAGGTGACCAGCAGATCACAGAGCACAGTGACCTTGCATGCCTATACAACAGATACAGGTACACAGTGCTGTGGAAAGCCTGCTATAATTCCAGCCCTCGCTTCATACCCTAGTATATACTGAGAAATGTCACATGCTAAAGTGTTATAGAAAACCTGTTTAAAGTTCTTTTGAAAGCAAGACTTGTTCTGATGCCTTCTAAAGTACTACACTTAGTTCTTAGCAATGAACCTAAAAAAAATACATTGGCTCTGGAAGGGATGCAATACACATTCAACAGAACGATATCCGGGTTTAAAGAGGTTAGCATTATGAGATACATAAACTTGGTCTGTGTTCATCTGAGTTTCGATAGTTGGGGTATTGTGATTGAAAGCATTTTGACTGGATAGTGTTTCCTTTTCTATCTCCCTATGAACAACAGTGCATAATCTCTAAATCAGGACTTTCAGGAGCAAAATCACACAAAGAGTAGTGAAATCTGAACCTCATAGCCCTCTTTTCAAAGGGAGTAAAGAGAGCAATAACAATATCGTAATCAATTCAAGTTGTGTTTTGAAAATTGTCCAGCTGTCATTGATAGTGTTCTCTGTACTGTCAATACTCAATCCCCAAACTATAAGAAATCACATTGTTTTCCTCAGAAATCCACAAAGAAACTCAACAGAGGAAATCACTCGAACTTACTTCTTCTCTCCTGTGCTTTTCCTCTTTACTGATGTTGTCTGCTGGTGCTATATCACCTACAATGCATTCTGCCATATCATGAACCAATGCTAATTTTATGCACCTGCAAATGAAAAGCACACAATTCCATTTGAATGGAAGGGGGTAGGGCAAGGAGAGCTTTTCCATTTAAATAAAACATCAAGCAGTCTCTTTGCTCCCTTGAGCAAGCTGCCAAAACTCGCAAGTTCCTCCTTATGATCCACAACACAAATTAAATTTTAAAGAACAAAAATTATAGAATTACAGGTTACACTGTTTGTGAACAGGTGGAAAATACCATTGTTCTAAGCTCAATTCACAAAACTTTTAACTCTGAAAACCAATTTAGTTGAGATTTATACGAGAGTCATTTCAGTGTTGCCGTTTTGACAAAAGTAGAAAACTATAGCATATTATGAAAAACTTAAATAAATGTGAAACTAGATATAGGTTTAACTTAATTCTGTTTAAATAAATGATATACTGAGGTAAAGTTTCTGATATACTGCACCTGTCTTTGTTGAGTTTTTGATCTTCAGTTAAGAGTGCCATAACAGCCATCCTGTACATGTGATCTGACACACTTTCAGGCTTTTTTACATTTCTATATACCCAGCCTGTTCGAGGTACTCTCTGAAGAAACAAAGAAATGGTCAATTTGGCATTATTATTTATTTACATTCACCTTACCTCTAGAAATTACTCAAATTGTTCAAAATACTGGAGATTGCTTGCACTTAACACCTTAAAACTCAACATAAGTAGCACTGGTGGAGCCCAAACTAATCAAATTTATTTCCAATAGCCACCTTATTTTTAAAGATATGGAACATTAAATTTATACAATAATATTTCCCATTAAACCACTAACTTCAGATGAACTGTGGAAATCCAGGCAACACTCTGTATATCAATTTTTTAAAAAATAAATGATGTATTGAAGAACTGCATTTTTCCTTCTTGACCTTCAGTTAAGAGTGCCATAACAATCAACCTGTACATATGGTTATCCATAAAATGCTTATATTTAACCACAAACAGAAATTGGAATTACATGTAAACCTGCTGGTTACAATAACAAATAAGTTACGCAAACAATTTAGTTTAAACCAGAAGCAAAATCTTAATACCACACATATCTCAAATGCTGTGCTTAAAATTCACCTGGAAATTTAAGATGAAAACAATCTTTATGTTAAAAAAAACTTGTTTCTTATCCCATTGATTTTTTAAAAAATTAACATTCAATTCTAACCAGCACCTGAATGACTGTATAACAGCATGCAAATGCAGAGGTTTACCTGATACAAATTATGATCACAGAATCATTTCATTGCAGGAGGGGCTATTCAGCCACCTTTGTCCAGATCCCTCATGATTTTGAAAACTTCTATCAAATCTCCCCTTAGCCTTCTGTCTAACAAAACAGTTAAAGTTTCTCCAATCTATTCTCATAATTGAAATTTCTCAAACCTGGAACCATTCCCGTAAATCTCTTCTGCACTCTCTCCAATGCATTCACACCCTTCCTCGCCTGTGGCATTCAGAATTGTACACAATACTCCAGCTGAGATCTAACTAGTGTCCTATATAAGTTCAGCAGAACTTTCCTGCTCTTGTACAGTATGCCCCTATTAATAAAGCCTAGAATACTGCATTTTTTTAATAGCTCTCTCTACCTATCCTACTTTTAGTGTCTCATGCATATACACCTTGGTCTCTTCGTTCCTGAACATATTACAACAGTATTCTTTGATTTATGCAGTCTCTCCAGATTCTTTGTATCAAAGTGCATCACCTCACAATCGTTTGATGGAACTTCATCTGCCACCTATCTGGGCGATGCCAGTTCTGCTTTACTGTACACAGATACTGATTGCAAAATAATATTGGTTATGTAATAATTGCACTATTATTGAGATTACTCATTGGTCCCAGAGTATTTCTAAATGGTGACATGACACATGCATCATAATTTAGACCATTCAACAAACATATGTAAAAATACATTGTCAGAAGTCTGATATTCCAACATATCAAGTACAAATAATTTTGATAATCAAATTTTAAATGGTAAAACTAAATTTTTAAATCTGCCCAAGTATGTCAATAAGTAACAGTCCAATTGCTGGACATCACACCAGCAAAAAGAAAACTAGTCTTTCACAATTAATTGTTTATTTACATTAAAGAATGTGATAATATTTCCTTTCGTTTGAAGTTTTTCCAACTGGACAAATAAGGGAAAATGAATATTCATATGTTTGTTAAATTTTTTCACAACCTCAGGAAGTTCCAATGCATTTTACAGCTAACACATTTGAATTGTAGTTGCTGCTGGGAAAAGTGGTATCAAACGACAGAGAATCACTGAACAACAGCAATGAAATCTGTGACTAGATCACTTGTTTTTATTGGCGTTGATTGAGGAATAACCTTGAACCAGCATATTGGGAAAACTCTACATGGGATATTTTAAGTCCATCTACAAAGACACTTACAGCACTTCCAATAGTGCAGCATTCTTTCAGAGCTGTAGTCTCATTCCAGGCTTTTGTCTTCCTGTCTCTGTACTGGCCAATAAATCTCCCAGGTGAAAGAACTATCACTGAGTCAAAGCCTTGTAGGTATAAGCACCATAACATCCTAGTTAGGTCAAAAAACCCTTTCCCGTACTGAAATCTTTAAGCTTGTTATTAATTCCTTTGGATGAATCTTGTTAGACTGAGGTCCCATTTGCCCTTAGACAACAAGGTGCAGGGCTGGATGAACACAGCAGGCCAAGCAGCATCATAGGAGCAGAAAGGCTGACGTTTCGGGCCTAGACCCTTCATCAGAAAAGGGGGAGGGGAAGGGGGTTTTGAAATAAATAGGGAGAGAATGGGAGGCGGATAGAAGAGGGATGGTGGAGAGGAAACAAAGGTCGAAGAGGCGGGGATGGAGCTAGTAAAGGTGAGTGTAGGTAGGGAGTTAGGAAGGGGATAGGTCAGTCCAGGGAGGATGGACAGGCCAAGGGGGCGGGATGAGGTTGGTCGGTAGGAGATGGAGGTGCGGCTTGAGGTGGGAGGAGGGGATAGGTGGGAGGAAGAACAGGTTAGGGATGCAGGGATGAGCTGGAGTGGTTTTGGGATGCGGTAGGGGGAGGGGAGATTTTGAAACTTGTGAAATTTTAACCCCACTGCGAAGCCTCTTCTAAGGATGCCTAACCTGAAGAAGTTACCCTCCTCCCTCCGGACAAACCTCACGGGATCTCTCTCCCACTGCAACTCTCTCGTAATCTCTTCGGCCCTGAAACTGCTCGACCACGTCCTGAAGCAAACCAGGTACTACAGCCACGTCACCTTCCTTAGCACCTGCCTACTGAACCAGATCATCTCCAATGGACTACAATCCACATTCAAGCCTTCCCAATTTGGCCCCAACCGTGATAATATCTACACTCATGGTATTGATATCCTTCAGAAGCGTTTCTCCCTGCGACTCCTGAAACACACACTTGCAGCAATGCGCCGGTATCTCCGGGCACTACAATCAAGCCTACCCCAGCTCAGAGCCTCCCTCTCCCAGACCTGCAAAGGACCTCTCCTGTTTTTTATTCTTTGTAGGATCCACAATCTGAACTCCCAATTCTACTCAGCTTTATTGGACACTAAAAACCGTAAGTACAGTAAACTTACTGGTGCCTACCACCCAAAACGGGCTTCCTCCACCCCCCAAATCCCCAGCCGTACCCAGGACCTTCCCCACAATGGGTCCGCCGCCATTGGCCATGAGGCCACTATCGGAGAACCCACAGATGACGTCACATCCGTCACCGCCGGGTTCCCCACTTCGAGACAGCAAACACCATCGCTGCTGTCGCCACCGACACTGAAGTCGCGACCACCCTCACCACTACTGCCACCGCCTACCCCGCTCCTCCTACCTCCGACGCCACTCCGCCCATCACCGACGCGGACGCAACTCCACCCACCGCCAACTCAACTCCGCCCACCGCCGACGCCGACTCAACTCCGCCCACAGCCTCCACAGCCAGCAGCTCCAGAGGAGACAGCAGCACCCAGCCCTGCCGAGTCTTCACCATCCCCCCAGACCTACCCCTTACTGAGGACGAACGGTCAGTCCTCAGTAAAGGGCTCACCTTTGTCCCCCTCCACCCACAGATCAACGAATACCGCTCACGCTTGGACA